ATGGCTTAACATTACCAGAATTCAAACTCAAAATGAAGCAGTAATCATCAAAACAATCTGATACTGGCTAAGCAACAGAGTGATAGATCAGTGGAATAGATTGAATACACAATATACAGTAGTAAATGCCCATAATAATCTAGTGTTTGATAAATGCAAAAATCCAAGCTTTTGAAACAAGAACTCACTGTCTGACAAAAATTGCTGTGAAAATTGAAAAGCAGTTTGGCAGAAACTAGGTATGGACCAAAATCTCACACCATATACCAAGGTAAGGTCAAAATGGGTACGTAATTTAGGCATAAACGGTGATATCATAAACAAATTAGGGGAGCATGGAATATTTTTCCTGCCAGATCTATGGATAAGGGAAGAATTTATGACCAGAGATGGAGAACATTACAGAATAGGAAATGGATAATTTTAGTTATATTAAATTTTAAAAAAAGTTTTTATATAAAAAACCCCAATATAGTGAGATTAGGAAAAAAATAAGAAACTGAGGGAAAAAATTTTTTAGCAAGTTCCTCTGATAAAGGCTTCTTTTCTCAAATAAATAGAGAATTGAGTCAACTTTATAAGAATACAAATTATTCCCCAATTGATAAATGGTCAAAGAATATGAACAGTTTTCAGAAGAAATCAAAGTTATCTATAGTCATATGAAAAAGTGCTCTAAATCACAATTGATTAGAGAAATTAAAATTAAAATAACTCTAAGGTACCACTTAACACCTATCAGATTGGCTAATATGACAGAAAAGGAAAAATGAAAAAATGTTAGAGGGGATGTGGAAAAACTGGTACACTAATGTACTGTTGGTAGAATTGTGAATTGATTCAACCATTCTGGAGAAAAATTTGAAACTATGTCCAAAGGGCTATAAAGCCATGCATATCCTTTGACCCAGCTAGCAGACTCTACTATGTCTGCATCCCAAAGAATTCAAAGAAAAATGAAAAAAAAACTTATATGTACAAAAATATTTATAGCAGCTCATTTTCTGGTGACAAAGAATTGGAAATTGAGGAAATGCCCATCAACTGGGGAATGGCTGAATAAGTTGTGGTATGTGATTGTGATGGAATACTATTGTGCTATAAGAAATGTTGAGGGGAATTATTTCAAAAAAACCTGGGAAGACTTACATGAAGTGATACAAAGTGAAGTGAGCAGAACCAGAAAAACATTGTACAAGGTAATAGCAATGTTGAAATGATGATCAACTATGGATGAGTTAGCTATTCTCAGCAATACAATGATCCAAGACAATTCCAAAGGACTTATAATGAAAATGCTATCTGCATCCAGAGGAAAAACTGATGGAATCTCAATGCAGATCAAAGCATACTTATTTTTGTTATTGTTTAGTCATTTCAGTCATGTCTGACTCTTTGTGATTATATTTGGGGTTTTCTTGGCAAAGATATTGGAGTGGTTTGCCATTTCTTTCTCCAGCTCATTTTTTAAAATTTTATTTTATTTTATTTTATTTTAGGCAATTGGAGTTAAGTGACTTACCCAGGGTCACATGCTAGTTAAGTGTCAAAGACCAGATTTGAACTCAGGTCCTCCTGACTTCAGGGCTGGTGCTCTATCCACTGTGCCACCTAGCTGCCCTTCTCCAGCTCATTTTGCATATGAGGAAACTGAGGCAGAGTTGAGTGACTTGCCCAGGGTCATATAGTTAGTATCTAAGGCTGGATTTGAACTCAGGTCCTCCTGACTCTAGTACTGACACTCTGTCCACTGTGCCTAAGAGAATAATACATACAATGACTACAAATTCTTTAAATAACTACATATTTAAATGAAAATAAACATTAGCTGGCAACAAAAATCAAGTCAAATACAATGTAAATCATTAGTATTAACTTATTAAAGGTAAAGTAATACCCTTCCTTTGCTTTTGTCTTTTTCTATATTAACAAACTGCCTATGTACATTTCCCATTTGGTAGCCTGGGAAGATCTCAAATTTAACATACGCAAAGCAGAACTCATTTTTTTAAAAGTTGTTGTTTACTCATTTTTCAGTTGTGTCAGACTCTTCACGACCCCTTTTGGGGTTTTCTTGGCAAAGATACTGGAGAGGTTTGCCATTTCTTTTTCTAGCTCATTTTACAGAAGAGGAGACTGAGGAACATAGGGTTAAGTGACTTGCCCAGAATGACACAGCTAGTCTGAGGCCAGATTTGAACTCAGGAAGAGAAGTCTTCCTGACTCCAGGTCCTGTACTCTATCCATTGCACCACCTAGCTGCTTCAAATGCTTTATCTCCTCTAAAATTTAACTACCTTCTCAACTTTCTTACTTTGGTTGAGGATACCACCATCCTACTAGTGACCCATGTTTGAAAACTCAGAATCATTTTCAACTCTACACTATCTTTTACTCCTCACATCCAATTGCCAAGTGTTGTTGGTTTTCTCTCCTCAATATAGCTTGCATCTGTTCCTTTTTCTCCAATCACACTTTAACTGTTGTCTAGCCTCCAGGCTCCCTCCCCTTCATACAGGTACCACATTCATATTCGTAAAGCAGAGTTATAAACAAATCATGGCTACAGAAGCTGCAATGGGTCCCTATTGCCTTTAGGATTAAATACAAACTTCTCAGGCTTTTAAAACCATTCATAATCTGGCTCCAGTCTATCTTCCCAGGCTTATAACTCCTCCTTACAAACTCTACCTTCAAGCCAAACCGGACTACTTGTTGTTCTACATACACAGCACTCTATTTCCAGTCTCTGTGTATTTACACTGGCTATCTCTCATACTTGGAATGCATTCCCTATTCATCTTTGTCTCACAGAATCCCTAGCTTCCTTCAAAGTTTAGCTCAAGTTTATCACATTCTATTTGAGGCTTCTCATGACTCTCCTAGCTGCTAGTGTCCCCTCCCTCCAAGTTACTTCGTATTTTAGTGTGTATATGCACATATACATACACACTATTTAATTTTCTGTTTACATAGTATTTCCCCTAGTAGAATGTAAGATCCTTGAAGGGAGGGACTATCTTTGTACCCCCAACACTTAGGACAGAGCCTGGCACATAGCAGCCACTTAATAAAATGCTTGTTGATTGATCGATTTTTAATAAATGGTGAACTGAAAAAATATAACATGATCTGAACTTATCAGTTCCAATCACTCTAATGTTATCTTGCTTAACTGTTTTGGGAAAAAGTACTTTGAGGGTAGCTTGTGAATGGGGAGGGGGGCTGTTGTCTGCTGTATCAAAATAATATCTATCACAGAAAAAAAAAATCCCAGGTCCAGCTTTCCTAGACATGTCCTATAATCACCATGTTAGTACTATTCCAATTAATTCAGGCTGTTTGGCAGTTGCCTGGTGAGCTGGCCCCACGAGGTACATGCTCCACCGTATGGAGCAGCAGAGCAAGGAACAAGGGCCACGGTCAGAGAAAGGGAAAGAATAAAAGGACAAGAGAAGGTGAAGAAGGGGAAGAATGAGAGTACAGTGAAGAGGGAAAATAGAAATAAAAGGAAAGGGTGAAATAAGAGACATAAAGTATGAAAAGACAAAAGAAAACAAAGAGTGAAAGTGACAAGAAAAAAGGCACAGAGACAAAGAATGAAAAAGACAAAGACAAGGAAAGAGACTGTAAGGGGAAGGGCTGGAAGGAAGAGACAGAGTCCTGACCTGACTCATTGTTAGCAGTAGGTTTCCTTGCTATTAGAGGTTCAGGGAGGTTAAATAGATAAGCAAACTTTAAGCTCTTCCTCCACAGTCTTTGTCCTAATGCAGGCTGTGAACTTTTTCTATGGCTCTCTAATCTTGTACCTTATGAACCCACAGCTTTAGAAACTGATATTTATTACAGAAAAAAAAGAACCCTCAGAAACTAATCAAGAACTTGTGGATGACAAATTGAAGTGATTACCTAGGGCTCTGTACTTTTGGGGAGCTGTTCATACTATTGCAATGACTAAAAACTGGACAGGGAATAGCAGAAAGGGATGTAGCTTTGCTAGTTGGCAATAAAAAAAAAAGTCCCAAATCTGCATACACACAATAGCCTGTAAAGTACACCCACACCCATTCCAAGACAAAGCATGTAAGAACATTGTCCCCTCCCAAAGACATGCATGTTCTTCAGACCCGATGTTGCTTCCTCTCCAGACTTTTCTCCCTAGTTCATTTTAGCATGGTTTCATTTAGATTAAAAAAAAGATAAGGTCAAAGAGGGGGGTGGGGAGGAGGGGGACAAGAAGAAAAGGAAAATCAATATACAGTTCCCTGGTCTATGCCCATTTAGGGTTTACACCCCTGGTAGGTGTACATAAGGATTAGTAGCTTTGTTAAATATAAAAATATTAGTGAAAATATTGGAAGATGAGAGTGCAGAATGTTTGAGGTTTGGTATAAAGATTGTACCTAAGATGACCAGATTTTAACTTTGAGAATCAGAGGTATCCTCCAATCAGCATTGTTGTTGTTGATAACATGTGAACCAAATGAGATAACATGTGAAGTGTTTGGCAAACATTAAAGCTATCTAAATGCTAGCTATTATTCTTCCCATTACCAGGGAACAGGTAGAGCTGCTGCTAACAAGTCATCCATAGTGTCTACATTGGCCAAATAGAAGGACATTATACATCCTAGCTATCAAAAATGGAGTAATATACAGTGTTAAAAACATAACTCCTGACCAACAGATACATATTCATTGATGATCTAGTCCCAGAGCTCTCTCTAACTAAGCTGTATGACCTTGAGCCAATCACATACTCTCTCTGGGCCTCAGTTTCCCAACTGGTAAAAGAAGGGAGTTGGACTAGATGACTTATAAGGTTGTTCCCAGCTCTAAAAATCTATGATTCTAATTGAACCTGAAATGAAGAGGGCACTGGGTCCTGATGTAGAGGATTCATAAGGGTTGTGGGAAATATGGAAAGGGCACAAAGTGTGCAGCCCCTAAAAGACAGTTTGCCTTTTTTTTCCCCCATGCATTGATTACTCGGTGCTCACCTCATTCAGTAGTAAGAGCAGCAGCAGCAGGTCCCCCCTTCAGGCCTCAAACTGGAAAACCTCCAGTTACCATAGCGGCACAAAAGCAGTCTTTTCTTCTCCCAGCTCCCACCAGTCCCAGCTTCCTCTAGTCCAATCGCAGCTCATAAACTCGGTCTCTGGCATCCTACATCTCTTAGGCAACAGTGTGTGGCTTCTTGATTGGCCATGAAATCTAGGAGGGCTGAAACCGTAACTGGGCAAAGGAGAATGGAAGGGGGAAGTGAACAAACCATGGGTAGCGAGGATCTGTGAAACGGGAGATTGCACTCAGTCTATAGATAGAATGAAGGGAACTAAAAGCTTTCTCTAGCACACTTGCTACCCACTGAGCATACCTAATCTAGTCACACAGGAGTTCCCAAATGAAAATTCCACTTCTCCGTACTTTGAGAGTGGCCAAACAGGAGAAGGTGGGCAGAAATAATGAGAACAAGCTTCTAATTCAATACAAGCACTGCACCTGTAACAGGAAGTGGGTGGGTTCAAGACTTAAGAAAAGATTTGGGGAGAATTGTCACACACAAAAGCTTCTTAGCTCAGATTTCCTCGGTTTTAGGAGTCAAGCTGACTGATAGATCCCGCAGGAAACCAGCAGATGGCATGCCTTCATAAGAATTGTTTTAAAAGATGGGCTTCTTAAAATCTGGTTACAAAGTACTGGGGTTCAGAACTACACAAAAGACCTCTCATCAGTCCCATAGGGACTGGACTTAAGATTTCATTGATATAGGGAACTCTCTAAGATTACATATACGTTGCAGAGAAAGTGCGGGTCTACCTTGGAGAAGAAGTTTCCTCTTCTCATTAAGGGGCAAGTGTAAAATGGACTAGGGATGGAAGGAAGGAAGGGAGGAAAGAAAGAAGGAAGGAAGGAAGGGAATAGTTTTTCTTGTTCCTTTTCTGTCTATCCTAAAATAATAGCTCACATTTATACAGTGCTTTAGGGTTTACAGACCACTGTCCTCACAACGACCTGAGGTAAATAGTGCAATTGTAACTCCACTTCATAGATGGTGAAACTAAGTTTCAGAGAAGTTAAATTAAGAATGTACTGTTCTGTAATTTGTACACATGTATGCAAATATGGACAAAGTAGTAAGAGTGGTATAAAGATACAACTCAAAATTATGGTGTATCCTAGACTTATGCTTAATGCTACAAAATTGTTCATCTAGTCATTGCTGATGGTATTTGGTGCTTGCTATTCTAATGATAACTTATTTCTAGTTACTTGATCTCTGAAGAGCTGAAGATGGGAAAGACACATGAAAAAGGAGATTTGGAAAGAAAATAGATGAGATTCAGTCCAGAGTGAAGAGATACCCAAAAGAAGGGGTTTATAGAGTAGCTGGAGGACCATGAATAGTTCAGGAGATTATGTGGTGGGGGAATAGAGTGAGCAATGGAATGAGAATGCTAGGATTCTAGAAAGTACCTTAGATGGTACCATCATTTAGCTCCACAACCCCCCCCCCTTTTTATATATTAGGAAACAGAAGGCCAAAGGGTAACTTAACTTGCCATGGTCACATAGGCAGCAGAGTCACTATTTCCATCCAGGCCTTTGGACTTCACATCCAGTGTTCTTTCTACCACACAGAATCACAAAATTGGAAGAGATTTTGGATGACATGTAGACTGTATCTAAGTGGATAATCTCCTCTACAACATCCATCTCATAGTACCTCCTATAACAGAAATGTTTATCTCTGCTTCTAAGAATCCTCGGTTTCCTTTAAAGTTCTACAACCTTTTACAACCTTTTCCTGTTCCCTCCCATTGCTAGTGTCTCTCAAATTAATTTACATTTACTATGAATTCATTTTGTATTTACTTATATGTGTATATGTTGTTTCCCTGATAGAAGGTACACTCCTTAGGGCAGAGGCTTTCTTAGTATCCCTAGTGCCTGCCTCAGTATCCAAATCTTAGTAGGTACTTAACAAATGCTTGATGGTCAATATGCTGATGGTTGGTGAACTCATTTTTTCATAAAGTAACTCATTCTATTTTTGGACATTTTTCTTTACAAATGCCTAAATCTGCTGCTTTATAACTTAAACTGCTTAGTTTCATCCCCTCAAGCTAATCCCTCTTTTATACAATAGTCCTCCAAATAATTTTTTGTTGTTTGTTATATCACATTGTTGATACATATTGAGCTTGTAGTTACTATATTATAATGTTCAACCGGAAAACAAGGTCCCTGCTTGATAAAGAACCTAGCCATGTAACCGTGGACAAAACTTCGCCTAATCTGAGCTTGTTTCCTCATCTGTAAAAGGAGGAGAATGAATTAGATAATCTTTGAGACTTTTCCAGATCTAAAATTCTATTAGTCCATTAACAGCTTCCAACTTGTAGAGAGCTCACTCTGATGCTCCCCGCCCAGGCTTTTAAAACCACAAATTTCCTTTTATAAGAGGGTATTATGCTGGTGGTGTAGTAACAAGAATTTCACTGTGTCTCCGGTGGAATTCAATTCAATTCAACAAACAGATATCTGTTTCTGTGAATATGTCACATCTCCTAACATTTTATTGGATCTTGTTTTCCCATGCTATCCCCCCTTCCCCTATGAGCCAAGATTGATATTTAAACACATTCTGATTCCATATCCAGTATTCAAGTAAGGAACCCACTTCTCTTTCAATCTCTCGGATCTAGAATCTCAGCTCAAATCTGAGCTCTGTCACTTATGTTAATCACTTCTTCACTCTGGGCCTCACTTTCCTCCTCTGGAAAATGAGATGGAGGGTTGAATTAGAAAATCCCTAAATTCTCTTCCAACTAGATTGTAAGCTCTTTAAAGGCACAGACTATCTTTCGCCTCTGTTTGTATCCTTAATGCTTAGCACAGTGCCTGGCACATAGTAGGAGCTTAATCAGTATTTATTGAATTGAACTTAAATCTACAATGCTACCACTTAATCAGTGTTTATTGAATTGAATTGAATTGAATCTAAATCTATAATGCTACCACCACCACGGCTATTGTATAAGGGCAGCACAGGCAGGCCTAAAGTATAATTACTGGTAAAAGGGAATAAAGGTCTCACTTTGGGTCTTTACTATTTGTGTGATTTGTGTTGTCACTTAACTTCCCTAGGCTTCAGTTTTCTCTGTTGTAAAAAGACAGGAATGGACTAGATGGCCACAGGGTCCCTTTCAGCACTAGATCTGTTGAACCTACAACCTTGATTTTTTTCATGGGGGGGCGGTATGTTAGGGATGGGGGAGAAAAGAGTGATGAGAAAGTGCAGGATCCCTGACAAGAGCATCAGGGAGGGTGATTTTCGCAAGGTTATGGAAATACAAGCCTAAGGGACAGAAGGTGGGCAAAGGGGACACAAGCCCGGGTAACACCAGCAAGCTCCAAACGAGTCAGCCCAGCTCCCTAGCTCGCGGGCGGGGCGTGCGTGCCCACCCTCCCTAGCTGCGTGCGCGCCCTCGCGCTCGCTCGCGCCCGGCGCTCCGAGGTCCGGGAGCTCGCGCAGCCTCGGGATTGGTTGGGGGCGGTGGGGGAGAGAAGCGCGCGCCGGGGAGCGAAAGAGGGGGACGCGCGTGCGGGCGGGCGAGCGGGCGGTCCCTCCGCTGATCCGTTTACCTGAAGGAGGAGCTGCCTTCGCCGCCTCCGCCGCTCGGGCTCCCGGAGACAACAGCGACGGGGACGACGACGACGAGGAGGACTGCAGAGGGTCTGAGGTGAGCCCCGAGGAGAGAATCTCCCCAGCCCTGCTTGGAGGAAGAGGGGAGGGAGAAAGGAAGGGGACCGAGACGGTGCGGAGGCGAGCCCGGCGCGGGGCTGAGGGGCTGTGGGGCCGCCGCCGCTGCCGCCGCCGCCCCCTCCTCCGGCCCCTCCGGGATCGCTGGTCTGCTCGCGGGCAAAACAAAAGCGCTCCCAGTCTCGTCCGGGAGGCGCGCGGCGGACTATGCTCCCCGCCTGGGGCGAGCTGGAGATGCGGGCTTCGGGGGGATGCGTGCCCTGCTCCTCCTCCTCCTCCTCCTCCTCTCCTCATGTCGGGGCGCGCGGGGGGGGGGCAACCTGTGCGAGTGCCCCCGCCCTTGTCCTTTCTGAAGGGAGCTGGTGCCCTGGACCACCCCCCTTCTCCACCCTCCCGGACCCCCCTGGGGGCGGAGAGGGGGAGGAAGAAGGCGACGAGGACAATAACCTGAGGACCCCGGCTGGCTCCTGGGGTTAGGTTTCTCTAGAGGCAGGAGGAACGTCCCCGGGTTTGCCTCTTGGAATATGTGGACCCTGACTGGGGAAAATGTCCCGGTTGCCCCCTCCTTGAATTGGTCGTCTCTTTCTCGGGCGGGTGAATTGTTGTTTGTGGCCAATAAGTTAGCAGGTAGCGCCGGAATAAAAGGTTGCGGTTAATAAATGGCCGGTCGAATAATGGCCAAGCATCCCTAGTGGGCTGTTTAAGACACTGGCTCCTCTCAGAAAACTCCGGATGCCCCCTCCAGACTTATTTTCTTTTTAGGCCACCTTGAGTTTTTTTGTGTTGTACTCGCATGGGGAAGAGCGTTAAGCCGAGGGAAACACCTTTTGTGGGCATCAGTAAACACCTTTTAAGTTAGCAAATATAGCCTTCCCTGAAAGGGGAGTCTAGGTTTGTGAAGAGTGTAAATTTCGAATTCCAGTTACTCAAAGTGAGACAGGTGCATCAGGCAGTACAGCAACATGAGTGTGCTCAGATGAGTACTCTGTAGAGGTAGTCATGTAAAATCTAATTTTATAGAGTCCAGTTTTGATAGAATCTCAAGTGTGTGTTTATAGGGCTTTGCAAAGCTAGATTGATTGGGAAACAAGCAAGACTTTAGGTATGTTACACCCCCTCTTCTCCCCCTCTTTCACTGGTGGGGTGGTAACTATAGGATGGAAAAGTAAGGAGGGGGAGGGGAAGCCCTTAGTCCTACCATTAAATAGTCATTACCTTTCATTTCCTAATCAACCTTCCAAACGTTAAACATAACGATACCCCCCCCCCGAAAATTCAGTCTCTACTCTCAAACCAAAAAATTAAAATATCTGGAGAAAAGATTGGGGTTGTCAGAGTAAAAGTCACCTAACCCTACCCCAAACCACTTGAAAGAAAGAACTTTGTAGTTGATCTCTTCTTTAGCCAGTCTCTGGTAAATGGATACATTAAAAAAAAGTGCTTTGCATTTACTTGAAGGGACCTGCTATAATTAATTCCACCCTTAACTTCCCTCCAACCCCTTAAAATCTGAAGCTCAAACAACTCTTCAGATCTTACATGGGATCGAGATTGGGTTTATGATTTCATCAACTAGGAACCCTCTCCTAAAATGCAAATTACTATCCTTCCTTTCCTGCCCATGGAAACAATTTGGTGTTCCATCAGTCCCTTAGCATTTATTAAGTACCTACTATGTGCCAGGCACAGTGCTAAGGTCTGGCAGTACAAAGAAAGGCAAAACCAGGCAAAAACTTGGTTCAAGGAGTTCACGGTTTAATGGAGGAGACAATATGCAAACAAGATATCGACAGGATAAATTGAAGAGGCAAGAACTACCATTAAAGGGAATGGGAAAAGGCTTCTTGTAAAAGGTGAGACTTTAGCTCAGGCTTGAAGGAAGCCAGGGAAGCTAGGAGGCAGAAATGAGGAGGGAAAGAGTTTCATCAATTAAAGGAGTGAATGCTCTCCCAATTTCTTTTTGATTTGGTGCTAAAAATAAAACACCCAACTAACATACAAAGTCCTATTGAATGTATAAGATTTTATTTGAAATGCAATTGTAATTGTGAGCATTGCTCATGGTTCACTTATTTATTATGTGCAAGTTGCAGCTAAACCCAAAGTTAATTAAGACACTGTCCCAGCCTTCCATAGAACCTAGCTGGGGGAATTCAACACGTACACAAACATGTAATACTATACAATGACTATAGGGCAGAGTGGAATATGAGAATAATTAAGACAAGTGTTGTTTGAGGTTAGAAGGTGGATGTTATGGTTCCATCAATTTAACTTGCTTTATTTCCAGCAGATTTTTACTTTTTCTTTATTAACTTATGCTCGTGGGGAGTTGGTCAGAGGTTATGATATTAGTAGGGAGGGAGAGGAGGAATTTGCATTCAATGTTAAGTATAATAGCATTCATTTTTGCTTTTAAAAATTGAGGTACCAAATTGAGTTTTACATTGCTGCATTCTATAATTGTTTGCTTTTGGGGGAGTGTTACTTTACAAATCATAGACTATCTTCTTGTCTCTAGGTTCTAAATTTAATTAGTTCAATCAAACACAGTTTTATTGTATCTACCATATGCAAGGCACTATGCTAAATGATGGGAAAACAAAGACAACCCGACAGTCTCAGCCTTAAAGGAGGGATTCAGCAAATAAGTAAACAAGTAAATACAAAGTAATTTTAAGGAGAATGCTAAATGAGGAGATCAGGAAAGGCCTTCTTTAGCAGGAAGTACCCTATAGACCTATAAGTCTATAAGGTCAAGTGAGGAAGAAATTCATTTGAGATATAAGGGATCACTTGTGGAAAGGCACAGAAGTGAGAGATGGAATATCATGTTAAAGGGAGTGTGGTATTGAGTCATTTTGACTGGATACAAGAATGTGGGAAGAGAAGGAATATGAATTCTGTTGAGGGTGCCATATTTTGGAGGGCTCTAAGTGCCAGACTAGGGAGTAATCTGAAAGATAATAGGAAGCTACTCAAGATTTTTGAGTAGGGCAGTGACATGATCAAATGTTTAATTATAGGAATAGCAATTTGTCAGTGGTATGGAGGCTGGATCAGAAAATGGGGAGATTGGAAAAAGGGAATTACAAGGCTGTTAACAGTAGTCCTGGGGAAGGTTGGTGAGGGTCAGAATTAATGTGGAGGCTATGTGAATGGAAAAAAGGGCACAAATATGACAGGTGTTGTAGAGGTAAAAACATAAAACTTGGCAAGTGATTGGATAAAGGAAGTGAGGAAGAGGATAATAATCAAGGATAACTCCAAAGTTTCAAACTTTGGTGACTATAAGTATGTCCTCAACAGAAATAAGGATATTTGGAGGGAAGATGGATTTCGGGGAAACGAGAATTGAATTTTGTTCTGGACATAATGAATTTCAGAAGTCTACAGAGCATTCAGGTTGAGATGTCAAGAAGACAGTGGCCAGCAGGCCTTGATTTCTAGAGAAAAATTAACTGGACATATAAATATAAATAGCTGAATAGAGATGATAATTGCATCTGATGAAGTGAGATGAGATAAAATGATGTACAATCTGATGCAGTGCTGATGAGATAACTAAGAGAGTGTTGAGGAAAAGAAGAGAGGAGTGCACAGGACACAGCAATAAAATGTAATCCTTCAGCTTAGTCTATACTGTATACTGCCCCTCACACAAACCACATTCCAACCAAACTGCCCTACTTACTCTTTTTCAAGCTTAGCATTCTGTCTTTCTCCTGGCAAGGCAAAAATCAGGTACCACCTACTCTGGAAGCCTTTCTTGATCCAGTTAGGTTGTCAGTGCTGTCTCTTTTACAATTTTTCTCCATTTACTGTATATCTGTGTAAATATTGTATTCTGCCCTCCCCATCTTCCTCTCTCCTTTTCCTCCTCCTCCTCAACTCCCCTTTTACCCAAACACACACACACACACACACACACACACACACACACACACACACAAGAATGTAAGTGCCTTAAGGACAGGGACCATTTTTCATTTTGTTATTGTATCCTCAGAATCTACCAAATTGCTTTGTCCATAGAACCCATCTAATTAATGCTTGTTGAATAAATGAATTGTTCCCTCCCCCCTTTTTTAAACATACAATTTAGGAATGACTTATACTTACAAATGGATGCTATATATATTCTGACCAAGCCATAGTCCCATTGCTGATTCCATCTGATTCTGAACTTGTAGAATTTAAATAGTTGAATAGTTGGAGATTCAGGGAGGGATGTGTGTGTGTGTGTGTGTGTGTGTGTGTGTGTGTGTGTGTGTGTGTCGCATGCGCGCACACGTGCATGGCACATTCCATTTGTAGGTGACATGATAGCCATGCAAGTATTATTGAAAATTGTTTTGCCCCAATGTTTTGCAATCTTGAGTTTATTGAACACTAACCTATCATATATAGTTTTGATTCTAATTCTGGTTTTGCATTCTGTTCCATTACTCTATTTTATTAGTACCTAGTAGTTTTGATAATTCTTGCTTTATAGCATCTTTTGAGTCCTGGCAGGACAAGTTTACTGTAATCATTTCTTAAATGGTTTTCTTTAGTATTCTTACATATTTGTTTTCTATATCAATTTTTTTTTCTAATTCAGTGAAGTATTGGGCATATGTCAAGTCCACAAATTAATCTGGAAGATACTGAGTTTTCACTCTGTTAGCTAGATAGCCATGGGCATAAGCCTCCATTTATTTATTTCTGTCAAAATTGTTACAGCTGTCTTATATAAATCTTGCTTGTGTCTCTTAAGTATTAGTTACATATTAGTGTTAATGGTATTTCTTTTTCAGTTTCTCCATATTTTTTCTTTAGTGATAGAAAAATGCAGATGATTTTTATGGCTTTATCTGGTACCCTACCATCTTCAGTCATTTATTACCTCAATTTTTGATTGATTCTCATAGATTTTTTCTACACATGAAATCATATTATCCATGATTCAATATTTAATCTATTAATTGCCAATGTTTT